CCTTTCCTTAAACTTTCTAGGCAAAAATACGAATCGAATGACACCTTGGTCGTAATTTTTGGACAGGGCTGAAAAATGTCACCAAAAAGAGCTAAATCGAGTACATGTGAACCAGACTATGAGTTACGGCGAAGTCTTCATGTATGCAGATGACATATCTATCATATACGATATTTAAAACAGAAAAGGTCTTTCACGAAATTGATGAATGGAGTCACAAAAATCGCCTAATGATGAACCAATCAAAGACAACACTACTAAGATTCCACAGACCCTGTGTAGATCCCATAATCGCCCAAAATATCACATTCAGACAATATAGTTTCCTATTCAATGCCAAATGCAATTTTATAGGCACATTTCTAGATGAAACTCTAAGCTGAGACGAATACATTGACAGCATTTGCTCTGAACTGAATAAACAATACTTTGCCATAAATAACCTGAAAAGCTGCCTGAACGAAGAAGGACCAGTCGCAGTCTACTATTCCCTCGTCTACTCGACCATTAGTTACAACATCTTAGTCTATGGGCTAACAACTTCCAGTAACAGAGTTTTTCTGGCACAAAAAAGAATAATCCGTGCTATGTTCAGACAAGACTATCATAAGTCCTGCCGAGAAGTATTCAGAACAAAGCAATTTTTAACTTTCACATGTATTTATTTCTATAAACTATTAACATATGTTAACAAGAATAAAAATAACTTTGAGCTTCATAGCGATATTCATGGCTACCAAACATAACAAAAAACTCGATTCAGATTGCAGAAGGTGAAATACACTTGTTATAAATAATCACCAGATTACGCTGGTATGCAGTACTTCAACATTTTACCAAACGATTTGAAAACTATAACAAGCCTGGCCAGATTCAAACATTAAGTCGTTTTTGATCACGAATACATTTTATAACATTCAGGAATTTTCCTCTCTCTGCAATAGCAACTGAGATGAGCTGATGAACTCTTTTTATTCTGTCAAAATTCATGCACTGTAAATATTTACCATTTATTATAATGCTAACCTGCACTTCTCTGTTGTTCTATATGACATATTATCACTGTATCAATGTTATTTTCCAATTGTATTTTTAAGTTTATGACCTGTCAACCCGATGTAAATTGGTGATTTTATGATCAATAAAAATTTCTGTCTGTCTGATCGATCGTTGACTGAACTGAATTCAGCAACAGCAAAGCTGCATACATGAGGACAATACCCCAAAGAAGGTCTTATCTAAGCTTTATAAAGCATAAATAGTGGCTGAGGTGTGTACAGTTTTTTGGTTCGGAACAGTGTTCCAAGCTTGTGAGAAGCAGTCCTTTGCAATTCCAGTGACATAATTGTGCCAAAACATATCGGTGTCCGATTCAACCTCCAACAAACTTATCGAAGCAGAGAGCGGAATTGTTTGACCTGACATTATTATATTCGATTCGAAGAAAACTGATGCTTCGGTTTTTGTGGCACTGAATTGGAACTTGTTACTCTCACCCCAATTCGAAATCACTTCTAGATCCTCATTGTGATACGCAACCCCCTGCTGCCAGTGGAGGTGTGCCTTCGTAGCCGATGTCCTGGAATCTAACTGGAATGACGAGAAAAGTGTGCTGTTGTCAGCAAAGCAATAAATTGGATTCTTGATTTTTTCAAATAAATCGTTGATATACAATAAAAAGAGAGATGGAGATAATATGAATCCCTGAAGATCACCAGCGTTGATGGTGAATGTATTCAAGAGATATCCATCGACGGCCACTTGCTGGAACATTCTTTCAGGAAGCTGAAGAGCCATACACAAAAATGATCCTACAAGCCATAGCATCGAAGTTTGGCAAACCCTCATGCCACTCATGGTCATAGACTTTAGAAATATCAAGCGCAACAGCTTCCGACTCTCCATGTTTCTTGACTGTGTTATTCAAAATATGGGTGACATACGATAGAATGTCGCCTGCTGACCTTTGTTCACAAAAGTCATATTGATGTTCGTTCAAGATGTTGAAGCCTTCCAAATATTTGAGGATATGGTGATATACGACTTTCTCCATGAATTTTGATATCACTGATAGCAAAGCGACTGGTCCATAGTTATTTGGAATATTATTTGCCACTTTTGGGAATAAGCTGAACGCGAGCAAACTTCCAACATGAAGGAAAAACTCCTTCATCATAAGACAGGTTGAAAAGTCTGCAAATAATTCCTTCCGTAGGACGATTATGGCTCCGTTAAATGAGCGAAACGCGCAACGTTGCCCAAACAGAACACCCTTTTTGATGAAACAATTTCATTATTCGCATATGTTTTTGAATGATGTATCCGTCCATGGTGATTTGGCAAAACAGACTGAATAAATGACAACTAATTTGACAGATGTAGCTTCAAACAAGCCGTTGTCAATTGTCAAAGTTCGGAAGCCCTTGTTGGAAGATCCTCTATAAAGATGGAAAATACTGACGAAAAATAAGATTGTTATGAAACTAACGGGAATTTTCAATGAACTCTATTTGTGTCAATCACGAATCATCAAATGCAAATGTTGTACCGTTTCTGTTGATAAGATGGAAGAAAACATTATATTGGATAACTTCGGGAACACTGGTCATAACGATGAGCTAATATAATTTTCTTCTCCATTGATTCCCGGGAAAACCGACGATTCAATATTGAAAAAAATATATTATTACAATATGTTGAAGTCAGAAAATTATCGATGTGAAATTTGAATTTTCAAATAGATAGATTTATGACAGATGTATTTATAACGTTGCTAGAAAACCAATCAATAGGAAATCAAATATCTGTCAATTTTTTTTTAATTGAATAATTTTATTAAANAGTGACTGGATTAACTATAAATCGATTTAATTCGTGAGGTTGCAGTCAATAGCTGGGCTGTTACAAAGAAAACTCTTTGTTATATGTCAAGCTTTCGGTATATTTCACACCTTCGTCAGGACAACTACAATAATAAGATTATATATCTTGTAAAAAATATATAAATATGGAGAACTCACTAACGTAAGAATAGAATATAAAATGGTTCAAAAACAGATAGAAAAAACATGAAATGATGACAGTTGTTCAAAATTTGACTTACAATGTCAAGTGGAAAAATTCTGAATAATACTCTACAATAATTCATTCATCATATTTGAGTAGGTATGTGTAAATTTTGCTGAGACTATCAATATCAGTTCTTTCATTCATTGAATGTTCTGTGTTATTGATATGTATCATTTCCAAAAATATTCTTTCAGTTGTGTTGATTTCTCTATCTAAAATATTTGGGTTTTCAAAATTCATTTCATGATCCTCTTAATTAACATGTTCTGTTGATGCACAAAAATTAACATTTCATCTACAGTCGCTCTTATGGAAAGTGATGCGACTACTTAGAGGTCTAGATGTTTGTCCTATATATGTTTTAGAACAATCCATACCAGAAATTTTGTATACTCAATTGAATTTTTGTTTATTTGAAAAAAGTAATTTCATACACAGCGACATTTTGTTACCTTTGATCAGAGATAAAATGTCAAACTTTTTTCCCGTCACAAAAAAATTATAAGCCCATTGACGAAAGTTCATGACTGATAATAACGTGAAATATAAACGAAAACTGAAAAACTTTTGACCTACCTGCAGGCACAATGTGGAACAAACAAGGACTCGCCTGTCGGCCGACGCTGTTGGACGCCCAGCAGGCTAGCGATTCAATGTCGTCCGATCCGGGAGTGAAGTGTAATATTGACACATTGCCCTGGTTCTCCATTTTAGCTCCGTGGACGGGCAGGACTCCCCTACTGGTGTTGTAGGTCCAGGAAAACCGCGTCACGTCTGGAATCGAGTCAACGTGACATTGTACCACTAGGGTTTCAAACGGGAGAGCACCTACTCGCACAACTTCGTAGCCCTTTTTGCACCTGGGGGCGTCTGAAATATATGATGGACTATTATTGGAAATCGAGTTTGGGAAAAACGCATTCTTGGTGGATAAAAGACCGGGGAGTTTTTCAGTGTTTTATTGAATTGTTTAGGTATTACTTGACAATATTCTCGACAATTAATACTTTTGGAGTGAATTTCAATGTTAGGTATGATCATTGAACACAAAAAATTTCATAGTAATCAAGAGTGTTAATTTATAATTATAATATGTAAGGAAAAGTCAGGCGCTTATCAAAGTGGGCTGACGTCGGAAACTGAGGGGTTCATCATGACTTTCCAGGATGGTGTCTTCAACACCTCAGTCTACCGCATCGACATAACGCGGCCCTTAGAGTACTATATTACCATCTACGGCACTCTTACGGTATTGACGAGACACCGATGTTTCCCTACGTTCCGGGGTATATGGAATCCGTTGTGGGGAACGAGAAATGCCAAATTTATTGGAACTATTTTAGTATAAGCCACGGTCAGCATAAGGAAAGTGAACTAGTCAAATAAATGTTCTTTGAGTTTTTTTTTGAGTTTTTCAACGTGTAGGATCTGAATTCACTGGGTAGGAGATTGTGGAATTTAGCTGATTTGTATGAGAAGCTGCGAGTGAAAACGGAAGACCAGTTTCCAGGATGACCAGCACCGACCTGTTTATAGTGAAAAAGGTGTTGATATTTGAGAATGAATTCAATTTTTCTTTGAAATAATATGGCATTCCGATCTTCAAGACTTTGTTGGTGTTTGTGAGTAGGTGCAGTGTCCTGAGTTCCTCTAGTTGCAGCAAACCTGATTCCTTCATGACCGGTGATATGCGCTCGTATTTTCGAATGACAAAAGAAAAACGAAATAAATATAAATTTGAGTGGTATACAATTGTTTTTTTTTTCAAATATTTACCGGACTGTCAAGAACTTTCTGAATATTCGGAATATTTTCAAAGTATACATCTTCAAAACTGTTTGATTTTCAATACATATACTTTTTGTGAAAATATTCATATTTTGCTCAAATTAATTATGTGGAAACATTGACTGTCTTTGGGAGGAAGTAATGATCCAGTTTGTTCGGCTGTAATGACAACACATTTATTATTCACATTTTCTGAAAAAGGATCATGAAATCACGAATTCATCAGATAATACTTGATGTGATTAAAGACGATTATAATAACAACAGTTTCAAGAAAAAAGGTAAAAAATAGATAGTTGCTACATTCAGTAGTATGCTTCAGAGACTATTGAATATTCCACTGCCTGAGAATAATTTGTTCGATAAAAAAATCGCGGTCAATAACGGTTATAAAGTAGATTTTATTTTTTATTTTTTTGTTCATTAACGGGTAACACCCAATTAGGTTTAAGATATTATAGACTCCATTCTTTCTAAAAAACTACAATAGAAAGTCATAGACCAGGTCTACGCAAATTCAAGATGCGATAATGTCACTTATAGGACATTGTCATATTTGGATAAATCAACCAATAATATGGTCCCTTTTCTGAAGAAAGAATGCGTAAACATAACTTACTAAACGAATAATAGTCTGAGTAAATTTACTAAAAACAATAAAGATAAAACTTCGGTATCGGATAGATCAGGAGTATATAAACGGACTTGTGGCTCTTGCCCAAAACTGTATATTGGCCAAACAGGAAAACATTTAATCAAAGAGTTGAAGACAAAATAAGTAGTTTTGAAAATAGAAAGACCAATTTCACATTTGCAAACGACCTTTCAGCAGAATGATCTGAATTCAATCATGAATACGACGTGTTACAATTAGAAGAGAAGAGTTTGAAAGTCAATATTTTTTGAAATGTGGAAACTGGGACAGGTAATTTGAGTCATTACAAACACCAAAAATCAAGTACTTGAAATGTAGATACTTAAAATTAGGTATATTAAGCATTGAATATGTGAAACACAGTTAGTGAAGACACGTCCGAAGAAGCCATAGTATGGCGAAACATCTATTGTATTTTTTGTGAAATTGATTAGTGAAAATCTTACAATACGTTAGATAGTGCTGTTGGAAAAGTGATTTTTTCATGAATTGGATGCTCAACATAGTTAAAAAATATACACAACATACCTTTTCTCTAAACCCACCAAAAAAACAAGACGAAAAACTTTTCATATTGGAATGACTATGTCCAGAACCTTCCATGCAACACAATGCCTTTACTTAACCTTTTGTTCTTATCATTTCATCACACAGAAATGTATTCTACGTTCAACAATCAATAACTATTGTCGCTGAACTACTGTGAATATTAGTCTGATCATAAGCTTATTTCAATAATCATTATGCTTCAATTGATCATGTGGCAAAATTGACTATCTTTGTGAGGAATGCAAGAAAGTAATGATCCAGTTTGTTGTGCTATAACGACATCAGATGTATTATTCACATGAGCTGAAAAGGATCATGAAAAATCCTTTTATCATTATCAGGCTATTAGTTCTTCATCAAACAATCATTTACAGAAATATTTAATCTGATGAAAAGCATGCATGCTGTTTTATACATCAAAGACTATTTGCGTCTCCGAAATGTACTACTTCACATTCAACACAAGATGGTGGTTGAAAAGGCCGACACAATCAAGCAAACATCGGTAATTAACCAAACAGCAACGGTATGTAATTGTTTTGATGCGTGTTAGGTGGTCGAGATATCAAAATCGTGAGCACTTTCAGGGGAGATATGATTTTGTGAGTAGAATATTGAGTTTGAATAATTCATACAGAGAAAACACGATTATGTATTAGATTTGAAGAAATTTGTAATTCAGACATATGATATGATGATACCGCCATAGTATTCGAATCTGAAAACTGGGACGATATGAAAACCATTATGCAGAATGATTTGAAGCTTATCAAAAACTGGTTCGATTATAAGTTATTAACAGCAAAATCTATTCGCTGTACCTTTTAATACCTTGTTTCTACTCAGTCATAGTATCTACAAATTCTGTATCGAATCTGAGCTGGGTTTTAACCATACAATGATGTTGTGGAGATGAGTATGACATACTAGTATAAATATACCAATTTCTCACACATGCTGATTCTGTGGAAGAAAATGTCAGCATGGGTATTCAGTTCCTACGAAGCAAACCAAAACAACTAGCCACCAAAGCTCTTATACCGCAACTCTAATTTCTACGTTCACTTGAAGGACATGCTTTGTAGCGAATAGCGGCCCATTGAGGCCAATTGAACCCATTTAGGCCAACTGAGGTCTATTTGGCACTTCTTCAGCCACCCATTCTGTTCACCGATGACAATTTACACCAACAGGGTTACTCAAGAAGTAACGTCATTTCATGATCTTCTCTCAACGCCGGGGTCGTTCGTTGAAGCCCTTCTGGTACCCCTCTTCGTCGTCGACGAACACACCCTTCTGGTCATTGACGATCTACAAGAACTAACGAAGATGCACAAGAATTAACGTGATTCCATAGTTCTCGGGGTTACATTTGAGCCTTTTTGGCAACTCTTCACGTTCCTACGTCACCCCTACAGCTAAGGGTTGAGAAAACCCGATGGACTGTATCTAGAACCGCTGTTAGAAAACTACTTTTATTACTAAGAATTTGGGATTGACACTCATCAAATTCAGAACAACTACTGTTTTTTAACACCAGAACTGCAATACCAATCATAATAATAACCTCAAAAATACATAATTGAGTATATTGGAAATTATAAACAATATTCATCTCTCACAAAAGCACTATCTCCTATCTCCTATCTCAGATCACAGTGTACTTCATCTCCTGAAGACGCGAACTTGGTTGATGAAACGCGCCTCGAAGAGGTTCCAGTTTTACCTTATATCCTTCCGTCAATCTACAAAGCAGTAAAATTGGGGGGTGAGATAAATTTAATTGTAGTGAGAATGATACATTACGTATATCTTCTGAAAAGTTTTTGAACTGCTAGAGGTAGCCAAAAATACTCGGAATTGCTGATTGAAGAAATTTAAAATACCAATTGATAGAGAAGAAGATGTGAATATATACAGGGCTTCCCCTCTCTCTCATTTTCATTATTTCCAAAACAGAAGATTTCAGGGAAACAAATACATCACCGTTCATGAAATTTGTTAGCTCCATCCTTCGTTTTTATATAAAAACATATCGAGTCTGAAACATCATTTGTAAGATACCATCAAGTGAAATATCGGAGAACTTCCGATTATTCCAGATGCACAAGTCAAAATGGCGACAATCAATTTTCTTTTTTCAAGGACAAAACACAAGCGCTACAGGAAAATCGTTGGGTCTCTCCCAGATCGGTGTCTCTGCGAAAGTAGCGATTCACATTGGATTCAAATCGCTGGAGATAGAATCCATTTGGAATAAAGTTCTCAGAAAATTTATCCCACATAAACGAAGTTCTCTAAATTGAAGAGTTTTTGAACAATGAAGTTCGAGGTGTACTGAGTTGAACTTTGAAACAATGAACAGCCTCAGTCTCTTGCGTATTTTTGATTAGTATTTGCTGTAAGTGATGTTCGCGTCTCCAATCAGGTAGATAGTTCTTTTCTGTATGGAATCCAGTAGTTTCAGCGTGTGTTTGGGGGCAGAGCTCCATATATGAGAACAATACTACAAAATAGGTCTGATCTGAGCTTCGGAAACATTTATCATTATAAAGAAAACTGATGCGTGGGTTTTTGTGGCGTTGAATTGAACTTGGTAAATTTCTCCCCAATTCGACGTTACTTCTAGACCCTCAATAAAATATTTAACCTCCTGCTGGCGATTAAGATGTGCAGCCGATCTCCTGGAATCCAAATGTGATGACGAGACAAGTGTGCTGTCGTCAGCAAAGCAATCTATTGGATTCTTGTTTTTTTTTCATTGAGTTGATATACAATAAAAAGAGGGTTAGAGACAATATGGCTCCCTGGGGAACACCAACGTTGATGATAAAAGTATTCGAAAGATATCCATCGACGCTCACTTGCAGGAAACAAT